AGCACTGGGAAAGTAGTGTTATCCAAAATGCTGTCCTGACCATTTGGGACATAACTGTTGCAGGATTAGAACTGTCTCTGCTGGCTGCTTTGCGGGAAGCCAGCTGACTTCAGCAGGCCCCCCACTCCTAGAGCCAGAGTAGAGAAGCACAGCGCTGCTGAGGCTTCTGGAGGCTGAAGAAGAAAAATGCCTTCTATCCTCCTCTTGCCTTTTAATCTCCCATTAGCAGAACTGAACGTGACACCAACTGGCAAGTGAATCTGGGAAATGTTTCTTTTAGGATTCCAGCACCCTTACAATACAGGAGAGAGTAAGAGAAAAGAGCTGAGCGACAACAGACAAATAGCCAGCACAGTTTAACAACTGGCACGTGGCAGAGTTAATTCTCAAGCATCTGGCTCCCGAGCCCATGTTCTTTTTTTTTAATTTATTTATTTTATTGCTCCTCCTGCCCCCCAACCCTCCCCGGCCTTCCTGCTGCAGTTTGACAATCTGTTTGAGGCAGCTCTGCCTCTGTATCTATTATTGTTCAAAAGTTTATAATGGTCTCTATTATCCATGAATGAGTGAGATCATGTGGTATTTTTCCTTCATTGCCGAGTCCATGTTCTTAACTACTACAGATGATGCTATGACACCATGATATACTATAACAAGAGGATATCATACATTTAAAAACGAATGTCATCACAAATGTGGGTTAGCAGCAAAAAAGTTGTAGGAATTGTATTAATTGAATAGTCCACAAATATTTAGCAACTTCCTACTTTGTGCCAGGCACTGTCCTACTAGAAATACAATAATGGGGAAATTAAAAAAAAAAAAGAGGTGACTCTCTTTTCTCCCTTTTTTTAAGGTTGAACAAAATTGCCTGGGAAGAATTCAAATTGGCTTGGCTTGAACCATGTGCCCACCCATTGAACTGACACATAGCTGAGGGCTGGGTATGTGGAAATAACCTAGTGGAAATGCCCACTATAACCCTGAGACAATGATTTGAGTGCAGGTAGTTTATCTGGAGGATTCAGGAAACACCTGTAGGAGGTGGGGAAGTGAGACAAAGAAGGGAAGGCAGTAAATAAAGGGCGCCTTACTAAGCCAGCTGCCATGGGTAATGACTGGAGTGTAATCCCACCGGAAAATTCAGGGAAATGGTATGAAATACATGCCTCAAAGTTATCCCATGTGAGGGGCAAAATAGCTGGGGTTTCTGTATAACATTGCATAAGGGATGCTGAGATGGAAGGTTGATAATTCTCAAGCACTTCCAAATTGCCCTAATTATACTGGGGAGGACTTTCTTCCACCTTTGGAATGCAAAGGGATGCAGACATCTGCAGCTGAAATCTGCCCCAGAACTTTAACGTGGTGAAAATCCAGAGAGGTATAGGTAGGGATTTAGAGGGCCTACTATTTATCTATCAGATAAAAATTTCTTCTGTCAAGAGTTATGATTTCCAAATATTCCATGCCTGTGAAAGAGTTCTATGAAGTAGAAAGTATAATACAAAGAGTTATTATGTAGAAGTTTCTTGAAGGCAGGGAGTATCATGTTTTATATCTCTCATAGGACCTAGTACAATCATATACTAATGTTATTGGCGCAAATATTTACTGAGTGAATTTCTAAGTTTAAAAAGGTGGAATTATTATTTTTTAAAATATATTTTATTGATTTTTTACAGAGAGGAAGAGAGAGGGATGGAGAGAGAGAAACATTGATGAGAAAGAAACATCAATCAGCTGCTTTCTGCACACCTCCTACTAGGGATGTGCCAAGGCACATGCCCTTGACCGGAATTGAACCTGGGACGTTTCAGTCCGCAGGCCGATGCTCTATCCACTGAGCCAAACCAGTTAGGGCGAGGTGGAATTATTTTTAAACGTTCATTAAAATCCATAACCCATTTCTGCTACCTTCTGAAAGAATTTTTTATCTGTTTCAGGAATCTTAAGTAGCATGATCTTGTTCTATTCCTTCTATCATATTCCTTAAATCTGGATAATTGCAGTATTTCACTGTGTAAATGTAAGATAGAAGGAACTCTTACCCTTTGCAACAGCAGGGATGGATCTGGAGATTATGATGCTAAGCGAAATAAACCAGTCAGAGAAAGACAAATACCATATGATCTCACTTACATGTGGAATCTAATTAACAAAATAAACTGATGAAAAAAATAGGACCAGAGGCATATTGCAGAGGGGAGGAGGGGAAGGGTGACTGGAAGAGAATAGCCAAAGAACATATATGCATAGCCCATGGGCACAGAAAACAATGGGGTGAAGGTGGGTGGCTGACTTGGGGGAGGGGAACAATGGGAGGGGGAAATGGACATCTGTAATAGTACCAACAATAAAAAAATCTAGACCATTGTAGATAATTTTTCATTGCTTGTCCAATAATCATTCTCTCCTTCCTCCTTACTGTAAAAAATACCTTGATTAGAAGTAAGTTATTGATAGATTATTGCTGGTTCAAACCAATCCTGAGAATGCTACCCTGAGTAGCATGAGGGAAAAGCAAGAAAATCATAGATGCCAACCCTGACATTGTTGAACTACAGAAGCAATATAAGGAACTATCTTCCCTCAGTGTTCTTATTATGTCAGAAAAACTAATAGTACTGTTAAATAGGTATTCTGTTCTACGCAGTCAGTGATTCATAACTTCTTAAATAGCATTTTTCTCCTTATGGGTAGCAATGCCAAGACAAAGTCATTTTATTTTTGGAGTAAATGATTTAAGATAGTAACTCATCAGAAAACCGAGACAAACAGTAGGTGTTGCCTGGCTGGTGTGGCTCAGTGGATTGAGTGTTGTCCCTTGGACCAAGAGGTTCCGGGTTCCATTCTGGGTCAGGGCACACACCCAGATTGTGGGCTGGATCCCAGTAGGGGGCATGCAGGAGGCAGCCAATAGAATGTCTCTGTCGTTGATGTTTCTATCCCTCTCTCTCCCTCTCCTTTCTTCTCTATCTAAAAATCAATTAAAGCATTTTTTAAAAGTGTTTGGCCACACTAGTTTTAATTCTGAATTACCCTCTGGCTAAGGAAAGATCACAGTGTTCCTCACAGCTCTCTTCCTCTGCTTTCCCCTTCAATATTCACTTTGATATTTTAAAACATCTAAAGAATCTTAGTTGGGCTCTATCACTGAAAAAGTAGTAGTGAGATGATGACCTTTCAGATAAAGTTATTTGAACCTCTCTACTATCCTTTGGCCTCCCCCTGCTCCTAAGGGGCAATTGGGGCAGCAGCCTCAGCTCACACCTGCTGCTGGCACCAGCCCCAATCGTTCCACGCCTGAGCAGTGGTGGCGGGAGCAGGGGCTGCCACCAGAGAACGGGCCACTGCAGGAGGTGCTGGGTGGGGCTGTGGAGGATGGGCTGAGACCCACCCCTGTGCCACCGCAGCTTCTTGACCCACAGTTCCTTTCAAGATGCACGAATTCGTGCACTGGTCCCCTAATATATCCATAAACAAGGTAGTATTATTATGTGTTTTAATACTTTAAGCCAGCCTTATCTAATGCAAATATGTCAGCCATGTGTGTAGCTTTAAATCAGGGGTCCTCAAACTACGGCTCACGGACCACATGCAAATACAAATATTGTATTTGTTCCCGTTTTGTTTTTCTACTTCAAAGTAAGATATGTGCAGTGTGCATAGGAGTTTGTTCATAGTTTTTTTTTTAAAAACTATAGTCCGGCCCTCCAATGGTCTGAGGGACAGTGAACTGTCCCCCTGTTTAAAAAGTTCAAGGACCCCTGCTTTAAATGTTCTAGTAGCCACATTAAAAACAGGTAACATTTACTTTAATATTTTATTTTATTATTATTTTACTTTAATATTTACCAATGTCTCCAAAACACTACCATTTCAACATGTAACAACATAAAGAATTGTTAATGAGCTACTCAATATTCTGTTTTAAATTTCTGCTACTAAGTCTTTGAAATCCCACTAGTAGTTGATACAACATGTCTCAATTCCAATGCTGAATTTAGATTTCATAAAGTTTAAGTTGAAAAAATAGACTCATATATTCTGGTTGTTCTACACATACTTAAAAGTTTTCAGTAACTGAAATCAGTTTTTAAAATTTAAAAAAACATTAAATTAACAGTTCCATTTTTCAGTTGCAATAACCATATTTCAAGTGTTCAATACCCACAATATGCCTAGTGGACACCCAGTGCAGATTGCAAAGATAACACAAGGCACTTACCATCTCGCATCTTTCTTTTGACTATTCAATTTATGTAATATTTTTTAATATATTTTATTGATTTTTTACAGAGAGGAAGGGAGAGAGATAGAGAGTTAGAATCATCGATGGGAGAGAAACATGCCCTTGACCGGAATCGAACCTGGGACCTTTCAGTCTGCAGGCTGACGCTCTATCCACTGAGCCAAACCGGTTTCGGCTCAACTTATGTAATATTTTAATTCTTTTACTTTCCTTTGCCATACCCTATAACGGAAGCACACAGAATGGATGGCTTTTGATTTCAGGGCAGATGACATTTTACATTTTTAAAAAAGTCATCGATCACTAAATTTACTCAGGAAGTGAATTTTCAAAAACACCACCACCCAAACCCTATTATTGGTTTGTATTTTCTTTGAACAATGGGATTGTTAAACAAGGTATATTTACTGATTAGGACATGCAGTTAACTAGCCAAGGTGCAGCTTTTATATTTGCCACTCCCATCCTTCTACCCGGCTCGCTCTCGCTCTCTCTCTCTCTCTCTCTCTCTCTCTCTCTCTCTCTCTCTCGCGCGCGCGCGCGCGCACACCCCCCCAGACACACACACACACACACACACACACACCCTGCCAACATGCGCGTGCGACAACCCAGGAAACGCGGTTTCTTTCTCCCCTGCAGAAACTTTCTGAGGAGCACTCAAACTAACTCGGTATTGATAGGGTTCCCCGTTCCCTTTTTAAAAACATTAGACTCCGCCCTCTCCAGGTTCATTCCAGGAGAAATGAAAAAGATTGGGGGTGGCGGCCAAAATACGGCCTGTGAAAGTCAACTAGTCAGTAGCTCCACCTCAGGAAGACGCAGACTTTGTGAGCCCAAGAATAACACGCGTTCCTTGCAGGAACATGCAACAGATCTCGAAACGGCCTTCTGCCCAGGCATTTGTGAAGAGATCGCCCCTAAGCAGGCGTTCTTCAGTCGCGTCAATGAATGGGACGGCCATTCAGCCCCGGTGTTTGCTGCGGGACCTCCAGGACCCGCAAAGCGCCAGCTCGCCCGAGTTGTCTTTTGGTTTGGGTTTCCCACAAAAGCGTGGTCACACCAAAAACTCTCTTTTTTTTTTTTTTTTATCACAAACACGATAACGCCCCCCCCCCCGAAACTTTTTTTCCAGCACCCTCACTTTCCTCCTACCCCTGCCCCCCTCGTTTTGCGCTTCGCTTCCGGAGTTGAGTGACCTCGTCCTGTAGAATGCCAACTCTGCAAAATTCCAGGAGCTAAATACCAACCAACCAACCAACCAACCAACCAACCAACCTCCCCCCAGGGATTAGAAACTGGAAAACGTAGCAAACCCCCACAACACGCCCCTGTTTTCCCCGAGGTTTAAAAAAATAATAAAAAGCCCGGCCCATTGCGGCGCAATGCATGCTAGGATAAGTAGTTCCTCCAACCCGCGCGGCGCGCGATCAGGACAGAGTTTAGGTTGACTGCCCAGAAGAGAACTACAGTTCCCGTCGTGCCTTGAGGTAGAATGGAAGGGGCGGGGCGGGGAGGGCTCATTGCGCTTGCGCTGGTCCCAGGGCCGGAGGGAGGCGGAGACGCAGCGGTCCAACTGCTGAAGAGTCTCCATGTGACAGGGACCTGGGTTCCAGCTCCTGGCGCCGCCCGACTCTGGTTCCCGATCCTAAGCACTGTCCACTGCCCGGAGCCCGCAGACCCCAGCAGGCGGGGGACGCCCGGGGTTCGGCCGTGCCGCCAAAGGACTCGGGGTGTAGAGTGAGTTGCTGCCGCAGGCCAGGTT